GAGGGCATTCAACCTAACAGTAATAGCCCAGGGGATTGGTGGAGGGCATTCAACCTAACAGTAACAGTCCAGGGGATTGGAGGAGGGCATTGTAAATGCCTGTGAGCTTCAGGTCATAGCCATACACAGGGTTTAGGTCCATACATTTGGGTATATAGTATATCCCAGTCAGTCAGTACAATAATACATCCTTAGTTAGGAACTGTAGAGCGTTCTGCAGTTTCCTTATGGTTATGCCCCAAACGGCACCCTATTCCCTATATAGTGCACTACTTTTGACCAGAGAGCTATGGGCCCTGGTCAAAAGTAGTGCACTACATAGGGAATAGGGTGCGCTTTGTCTCCATAGATAGAAACAGAACAGGGCAGTAATGTATCAAGCCAGCCAGCCCTCAGTCAGCCAAGTCTAGCCTCAGTTTCCACCCCCTTGAGAGGCACAATGAATTATAGTATACAGTGGGGGAAAAAAGTATTTAGTCAGCCACCAATTGTGCAAGTTCTCCCACTTAAAAAGATGAGAGGCCTGTAATTTTCATCATAGGTACACGTCAACTATGACAGACAAAATGAGAATTTTTTTATTTGCAAATTATGGTGGAAAATAAGTATTTGGTCAATAACAAAAGTTTCTCAATACCCTTTGTTGGCAATGACACAGGTCAAACGTTTTCTGTAAGTCTTCACAAGGTTTTCACACACTGTTGCTGGTATTTTGGCCCATTCCTCCATGCAGATCTCCTCTAGAGCAGTGATGTTTTGGGGCTGTCGCTGGGCAACACGGAAAATCCCTCCAAATATTTTCTATGGGGTTGAGATCTGGAGACTGGCTAGGCCACTCCAGGACCTTGAAATGCTTCTTACGAAGCCACTCCTTCGTTGCCCGGGCCGTGTGTTTGGGATCATTGTCATGCTGAAAGACCCAGCCACGTTTCATCTTCAATGCCCTTGCTGATGGAAGGAGGTTTTCACTCAAAATCTCACGATACATGGCCCCATTCATTCTTTCCTTTACACGGATCAGTCGTCCTGGTCCCTTTGCAGAAAAACAGCCCCAAAGCATGATGTTTCCACCCCCATGCTTCACAGTAGGTATGGTGTTCTTTGGATGCAACTCAGCATTCTTTGTCCTCCAAACACGACGAGTTGAGTTTTTACCAAAAAGTTATATTTTGGTTTCATCTGACCATATGAGATTCTCCCAATCCTCTTCTGGATCATCCAAATGCACTCTAGCAAACTTCAGACGGGCCTGGACATGTACTGGCTTAAGCAGGGGGACACGTCTGGCACTGCAGGATTTGAGTCCCTGGCGGCGTAGTGTGTTACTGATGGTAGGCTTTGTTACTTTGGTCCCAGCTCTCTGCAGGTCATTCACTAGGTCCCCCCGTGTGGTTCTGGGATTTTTGCTCACCGTTCTTGTGATCATTTTGACCCCACGGGGTGAGATCTTGCGTGGAGCCCCAGATCGAGGGAGATTATCAGTGGTCTTGTATGTCTTCCATTTCCTAATAATTGCTCCCACAGTTGATTTCTTCAAACCAAGCTGCTTACCTATTGCAGATTCAGTCTTCCCAGCCTGGTGCAGGTCTACAATTTTGTTTCTGGTGTCCTTTGACAGCTCTTTGGTCTTGGCCATAGTGGAGTTTGGAGTGTGACTGTTTGAGGTTGTGGACAGGTGTCTTTTATACTGATAACAAGTTCAAACAGGTGCCATTAATACAGGTAACGAGTGGAGGACAGAGGAGCCTCTTAAAGAAGAAGTTACAGGTCTGTGAGAGCCAGAAATCTTGCTTGTTTGTAGGTGACCAAATACTTATTTTCCACCATAATTTGCAAATAAATTCATTAAAAATCCTACAATGTGATTTTCTGGAATTTTTTCTCTCAATTTGTCTGTCATAGTTGACGTGTACCTATGATGAAAATTACAGGCCTCTCTCATCTTTTTAAGTGGGAGAACTTGCACAATTGGTGGCTGACTAAATACTTTTTTTCCCCACTGAGTATATCAAAACATTAAGAACACCTTCCTAATATTGAGTTGCAACCCCTTTTGCCCTCAGAACAGCGTCAATTCGTCGGGGCATGGACTCTACAAAGTGTCGAAAGCATTCCACAGGGCTAGATGTCCTTTAGGTGGTGGAACATTCTTCATACATACGGGAAACTGTGAGCAGCGTTGCAGTTCTTGACACAAGCCGGTGCACCTACTACCATACCCCGTTCAAAGGCACTTAAGTCTTATGTCTTGCCCATTCACCCTCTGAATGGCACACATACACAATCCATGTCTCAATTGTCTCAAGGCTTAAAAATCCTTCTTTAACCTGTCTCCTCCCCTTCATCTACAAGTGGATTTAACAAGTGACACCAATAAGGGATCATAGCTTTCACCTGGTCAGTCTATGTCATGGAAAGAGCATGGGTTCTTAATGTTTTGTATACTCAGTGAAGTTAGCCTCACAACCGGGGTCATATTCATTAGTGTTCACTGTAGCAAAACGTTCCGCAAAACAAAAACACGAGTTTCTTATTGGACAAGTTCATGTACTCTTCCGTTTTGTGCCAAGTGAATATGACCCAGAGGAAGCCTTGTCGCTTCATTCAGATAGCTGACACAGCATAGATCCAACATGGACGCCTCAGTTTCCACCCCCTAGAGAGGCACAATGTAGTACAGTTGAGAAACTGAGAAACACGCATAGATAGGATAGTACACGTTTCATTTGTCCTGAATTGAAGACAGAAGACTGTCTTGATCCACTCCAGTGCAAGAAGCATGATTCAGTCAGTCAGCAATGGCAACAGTCCCAATAGTTTCAGTGGGTGGGGGTGGGGTTATCTGTCAATCCACAGTGTTACAGTACACCACCACCACCACCAACAACAACAGGCTAATGAAGCCTACATGGGCAACATGGCAACCACAGTCATATGTACTGTACATCTTCATATTCATGATTAATCAATTCATGATGGCCCAAAAGTTCAGGAAGACTCGTGGCCTAGGCACTATGCGTTACTTTGACACACATATAATATGTACACACATACACACACACACACACACACATACACACACACACACACACACAAGTAACATAAGACATCAGTTTAAACAGCAGATATAAAACCTTAGTTCTTTGGTTACCCCTGACGACGTATCACAGTGACTTCGATAACAAATCCGGATATCAGTGAGTTATCAACAGTAGTACATTCTCGATCCATACACCCCAGATGACAACCCTCTGTTACCATTACAGGAAGATCTGGTGTCTGAACATAAATATGAGCTGCTGAGCTGATTCAATGATACTAACGTTAGAAAAACACATGTAGGTAATGTCTCTCCATCTAGAGGCTCTCAAACTAAAATAATGCAGTAGAAAACTTGACTTTCAGTGAACAACGATATTGAACAATGATATGCCTTTATAAAACACACGGGTCAGATGGGCTAAAGGGAAAGCAGACGTTTATACTGACAGACAGAACATGTCTGATCAGAAGTCTAGTGGAACAGAAGGATGGATGGTGAGATTGAGAGAAGAGGAGCTGGTTCTGTTGAGCACTGACAGCTGTCCCTGGTCTAGTAGGAACTGTTCTGGATCTGGCCCTGGTCTAGTAGGGACTGTTCTGGATCTGGCCCTGGTCTAGTAGGAACTGTTCTGGATCTGGCCCTGGTCTAGTAGGGACTGTTCTGGATCTGGCCCTGGTCTAGCAGGCCCTGTTCTGGATCTGGCCCTGGTCTAGTAGGAACTGTTCTGGATCTGGCCCTGGTCTAGTAGGAACTGTTCTGGATCTGGCCCTGGTCTAGTAGGGACTGTTCTGGATCTGGCCCTGGTCTAGCAGGCCCTGTTCTGGATCTGGCCCTGGTCTAGTAGGAACTGTTCTGGATCTGGCCCTGGTCTAGTAGGAACTGTTCTGGATCTGGCCCTGGTCTTAGAGGCCTGTTCTAGATCTGGCCTGGTCTCTAGTAGGAACTGTTCTGGATCTGGCCCTGGTCTAGCAGGCCCTGTTCTGGATCTGGCCCTGGTCTAGTAGGAACTGTTCTGGATCTGGCCCTGGTCTAGCAGGCCCTGTTCTGGATCTGGCCCTGGTCTAGTAGGGACTGTTCTGGATCTGGCCCTGGTCTAGTAGGGACTGTTCTGGATCTGGCCCTGGTCTAGTAGGACTGTTTCTGGATCTGGCCCTGGTCTAGCAGGCCTGTTCTGGATTGGCCCTGGTCTAGCAGGCCTGTTCTAGATCTGGCCTGGTTTAGTAGGAACTGTTCTGGATCTGGCCCTGGTCTAGTAGGGACTGTTCTGGATCTGGCCCTGGTCTAGTAGGAACTGTTCTGGATCTGGCCCTGGTCTAGCAGGCCCTGTTCTAGATCTGGCCCTGGTCTAGCAGGCCCTGTTCTAGATCTGGCCCTGGTCTAGTAGGGACTGTTCTGGATCTGGCCCTGGTCTAGTAGGAACTGTTCTGGATCTGGGCCTGGTCTAGTAGGGACTGTTCTGGATCTGGGCCTGGTCTAGTAGGCCCTGTTCTGGATCTGGCCCTGGTCTAGTAGGGACTGTTCTGGATCTGGCCCTGGTCTAGTAGGAACTGTTCTGGATCTGGGCCTGGTCTAGTAGGAACTGTTCTGGATCTGGCCCTGGTCTAGTAGGGACTGTTCTGGATCTGGCCCTGGTCTAGTATGGACTGTTCTGGATCTGGGCCTGGTCTAGTAGGAACTGTTCTGGATCTGGGCCTGGTCTAGTAGGAACTGTTCTGGATCTGGGGACCCCCTTTAGGTGATAGTCCTGGGTGGAGAGTAACTTTCCCAAATTTCCCAGGATTTCCAGAAATCCTAGTTGGAGGATTCTGGAGTTCCTGCTGATTCCCTCCTGATTCCATGAATCTTCCAACCGGGATTCCTGGAAAGACTGTGAATTTGGGGAGTTTTGTGAATTTTATCGGACCAGGGGCTGGGGGTCTGTGGTGTCCATGGAGGGGGGTCCTCTAGTGAGACAGGAGGGCTTGACAAACACCCCGTAGCCTGGAGGACAGCGGAAGTAAACCCTCCCCTGGACTGTCCCGTTGTGCTTGCCTGGATAGTGGAGACAGAGGGGGTATTCAGGAGTCATGTGTCACATTCACAATACATTTCAAACACCTGATAGGTTCCTCACAGGTCCCATTAAGGTCAGTTAAGTATTGCCAGAGCACCAGCACTCTAAGAGTGTGTCCCAAATGACAGTCTCACCCTACATAGTGCACTACTTTTGACAATAGCACTATGGGTGCACCCAAAAGCAGTGCACTATAGTATAGGGAATATGGTACTATTTGGGACGCATCCTATTACATCATTATTACACATAACATCATTTGATAAATAAACAGCCACTCACCCACAGCCACGTCCAGCTGCACACCGACCCAGATCCCCTTGGCGAACTCCACCCCCCCGACGTAGTGCACTGTGGCACTCCTCTTCCCCACCCATACCTGCTCCCCGGGAGCCATCCAGTCAGGCAGCTGGGCCACCGGAGAACCAGAGCCAGAGCCCTCGTCCCCGCTAGAGGAGTCCCCAGAGGCCTCAGTGCTGCTGGGGTTGGGGCTGGGGCAGCTAGGGCTGGGACAGGGGCTCCCTGGAGGTAGGTCTCCCTGGATCGGCTCCTGGATCTGGGGCTCTCCTCCTGCTAGTTGGCCTGGGGGGCTGGAGGGGGGTGGGCAGGGTATGGCTACGCTGCTGACACACGGTTTGCCGTTGTGGAGGTAGGAGTGGTTCTGAGGGAGCGGGGCGTTACCGGGGTGAGATGTATGTTGTTGTTGTTGTTGTGTGTTGATGACGACCGCGTGTTTGTCAGAGACCTCTTTCTCCTTCTCTTGTTGGACAGAGGATATGTGTGGTGCGTCCCCAGGCTGCCATCCTTCCTGGAAGTGTCCCAGCTCACCCAGATCCCCCATGCCGTCGTCGGCCCCCTTGAAGTCTGTAAACTCCTGGCTGACGCTGAGGACACACCTGCGGGGCAGCGGGGAGGGCTGCTGCTCCGAGCAGTTAGGAATACTGACAGGGGAGGAGGGGGAGGTGGTGGTTTGGGGGATGGGGAGGGGCTGGGAGGGGACGCCAGGGGGACACGCAGGGGTCTGGGTGTCACCCCACGGCGAGGCACCTCTGGTCTGGGTGGAGTCGAAGGAGGGGGTCTCGTGGGGGTGGAGGTGGTGGGTGTCCCGGTCAGAGTCATTCCTTTCTTGAGCCATCGCGGAGGCGCTGAGCTGGTCGGAGCTGTCGCTGGCGCCGAAGGGCACGTCAGAGAGCGTGGCGTCCGAGGCACTGTGGGAGAAGTAACCGCTGGTGCAGCTGCTGGCGGTGGGGCTCCGTGGAGCCACCTCTCTATCCCCCCCTCCCCGACCCCCCCTCAGCTCTCCCCTGCCCCCCGCCACACACACCACCCCCTCCTGGGTCTCCAGGGTAGCGTTGTACACCTCAAAGTTGGCAAAGTCCACTGGGATGTAGGACTGGAAGCTGTGGAAGTGCTGAGGGCCCATGCCAAAACTCAGGGCCATTTCCATGTCTGCCTCCTCCTCAGAGTCCTGGGACAGACACCACACAGAGACATACAGACACAGGACGAACATCACACAGAGACAGGATAGACACCACACAGAGACAGACAGACACAGGACAGACATCACAGAGACAGACATACACAGGACAGACACCCACAGAGAGACGCACAGAGGACAGACACCACAGAGAGACATACATAGGACATACAGACAGATAACAGTACAGACACCACACATGAGACATACAGACACAGGGACAGACATCGACAGAGGACAGACACCACACAGAGACAGACAGAGGACAGACACCACACATAGACAGACAGAGGACAGACACCACACAGAGACAGACAGAGGGACAGACACCACATAGGGACAAAGTCCAGCTACTGTTTCTTTCTGCAAGGAGCCTATCTGTGGAGGCTGGTGAGGGGAAACTCAACAACGCTGGAATGGAGTGAATGGAATCAAAGCCGGTTTGATATGTTTGATGCATTCAATGTTTTTCCCATTCCTCCGTTAAAAAAACCCCCCTTTCCCCCAAACGGGGAATTTTGGGTTTTAATTTTTTAATTGGACCCTCTGGGGGCGTGGGGTAGGGGGGGCCTTTGGGGGGGGGTTGAAAACAGGGGAGGGGGCGGAATAAACCCCCTGGATCTTTCTTCCTATGGAAAAATCAGGTTGGCAACCTAATTTCCCCTTTTTTTGGGTTCCCCAGGGCCCGGGGTTTTTTTTATTGGGGCCCCCCTAAAGGGGGGTAAAGGGGGTTCACCCCCCAAAGGCCTTTTTAAACAAGGGGGGGCCCCCAAAAGAGTGACTTGGGGAAAAGGTTTTTTGGGGGATCCTTCCTTTTTTCCCCCCACAGGGGAAAACCGCCCCCAACCCGACGCCGTGCACAACCCCCCCGGGGTCCCCCCCCGGGGTTTTCCACCCCTTTTCCCCCCCCCCAAACCGTCCCCCCCCCCAAATTTTGGGGGGGAACCGAAAGGAGAAACCCTCCCCTAAGGGGCCCGGGCCCCCATTGGGGGGGGTTGGGGGGGGGGGGTTGGGCGGGGCCTCCCGGGGGGGTTTCTCCCATTTCCCCGGGGTTGGGGGTTTCCCCCCTTTTCCCTAGGGGGGGGGGCGGGGGTGGTCAGCTGCAACTTTTTTTGGGGGGGGGGGTGGTTTTGGGGGGGGGGGTTTCCCCCCCCCCTTTTTTTTTTTTTTTTTGGGGTTGTGCCCCGTTTTGAAATTTTTTTTCCCTTTTTTTGGCCCCCTTGGTTTTTCCCCCCCCGGGGCCCCCCCCCCTTTCCCCCCCCCCCATGCCCTCCGGGCCCCCCCTTGGGCCCCAAAAAGGGGGCCAAAAAACCCCCCCGCCCGGGGGGGGTCCGGCGTTGGAAAAGCGGGGAGGGGGGGTGGGGGGGGGGGGGGCTGGGGGGCGCCGGGGGACCCGGGCGGGTTCCCCCCCGGGGGGGACCCCGGTCTGGGGGGGCGGGGGGGCGGGGGGGGGTTTTTGGTTTGGTCGGGCTTTCCTTTTTTCCCGCACCTTTTGGGTTGTCCCCGCCCCCCCCCCGTCGGGGCCCCTCTCTCCCCCAAAAAAACCCTTTGGGGGCCCCCCTTCCTTTCCCCCCCTTTTTTCCCCCCCTCCCCCCCCCCTTTCCCCCCCCCTCCCCCCCCCCCCCCCCCCCTCCCCCTTTCCCTACTTTTTCCCCCTCCCTATGAACTAACTGTTTCCCTAAAAACCCCCTTTTTCCCGGCCCCCCTTAGAGCCGGGAAGAAAAAAAACCCCAAAGAAGGAAAAGGACCGACCAAGAAGGGGGAAAAACCCCCCAGGGGCCGGAAAAAAGGAAAGAACCCCGGCCCCTTTCCCGGACGAAAAGAGGAAAGGGGGGGAGGAAACCCAAAAAAGGAAAAGAAGAAGAAAGGGCAAAAGACACCCCCAAAAGATCAAACAGGACGAAAAACCCCCCGAGCCAAACCCAACGAATGTGGTTTGGGGGATGGGGGGGGGGCTGGGGGGGACGCCAGGGGGGGACAGCAGGGTTGGTGTCACCCCACGGGAGGCACTCTGGTCATGGGGTGGAGGCGAAGGAGGGGGTCTCGTGGGGGTGGACGGTGGTGTGGGGGTTGTGTCACGGTCAGAGTCATTCCTTCTCTTGAGCCATCGCGGAGGCGCTGAGCTGGTCGTAGCTGTCGCATGGCGCCGAGGGCACGTCAGAGAGACGGGGCGTCTGAGGCACTGTGGGAGAAGTAACCGCTGGTGCAGCTGCTGGCGGTGGGGCTTCCGTGGAGCCACCTCTCTATCCCCCCCTCCCCCGACCCCCCCTCAGCTCTCCCCTGCCCCCCGCCACACACACCACCCCCTCCTGGGTCTCCAGGGTAGCGTTGTACACCTCAAAGTTGGCAAAGTCCACTGGGATGTAGGACTGGAAGCTGTGGAAGTGCTGAGGGCCCATGCCAAAACTCAGGGCCATTTCCATGTCTGCCTCCTCCTCAGAGTCCTGGGACAGACACCACACAGAGACAGACAGACACAGGACAGACATCACACAGAGACAGGATAGACACCACACAGAGACAGACAGACACAGGACAGACATCACAGAGACAGACATACACAGGACAGACACCACAGAGAGACAGACAGAGGACAGACACCACAGAGAGACAGACATAGGACAGACAGACAGAGACAGGACAGACACCACACAGAGACATACAGACACAGGACAGACATCAGACAGAGGACAGACACCACACAGAGACAGACAGAGGACAGACACCACACAGAGACAGACAGAGGACAGACACCACACAGAGACAGACAGAGGACAGACACCACATAGGGACAAAGTCAGCTACTGTTCTTTCTGCAAGGAGCCTATCTGTGGAGGCTGGTGAGGGGAAACTCAACAACGGCTGGAATGGAGTGAATGGAATCAAAGACGTGTTTGATATGTTTGATGCCATTCAATGTTTTTCATTCCAGCTGTTACAAAGAGCCCTCTTCTGATTTAATGTGTCACCAGCCACCATTGGAGCCTATGTCTACCTATTACAGGATATTCAAATGCATTGAGGACAGTGACTGTAACGATGGATGGAGTGTTGGTTGGTTGAGATGATGTTGGAAGATGGGGGCGGAAACATGAGCTGATGACATCATGCACTTCATACTGTATTCACTTCAGTGTAAGGCACCATGGTATTTGTGTGTGTGTGTTTGTGGTGACTTACAGCGGTGTGTGGCAGTGTGAGGCTGAGCTGTCTGCTGGTGCAGGTACTGGGGGTGAGGGTGGAGGGGGTGAGGGTGGCGGTGAAGGGGGTGCGGTGGCCTTCGCTGCCCGCTCTAGGCCTGCGCCAGGGGGCATGGCCGTGGCAGGGAGGGGGGAGCAGCACGGAGCTGTCCACACATGAGGAGCGCAAGCTCTGCAGATGGGGGTTACACAGGAGGCATGCATGGAGCAGGTGAGTTAACATACACTCATACATACATGCACAGTCCGGTGCAGTCAATAGGTTGTAGAGTTAGTTAGTTACTGTACTAGAACTGGTGATACAGACATGCAGTCGATATTGAATGGAAAACAATGTCTATTAAATTAATATGGTTGGCATTGGCATCCTAAATGTCATGCTAGTCCAGTGCAGCGCGAAAGCATCAATGCTTTGGATGAGATGGCATCACAATAGATTTAGAGCATGGAGCTCCCCATTCATACAATAGATTTAGCGCATGGAGCTCCCCATTCATACGATAGATTTCAAACATCTGTGAGCAGATCACATTCAGCCAGAACAATCAGCAATCATCAGACAGGTTTAGTTGAATTAGTAGCTGTTGAATGTAGTAAACATCTGTCTGTGTGTACTGGATTCACTTAGAATAGGGAAAATGTCCTGTTTCAATGAGTACTACTGACGTAATGTAATACTGTCACATTGCAGAAAAGGAGGGATGTCACGGAATGAAGAGAAACGATGGGAATGACAGGGGAAGACAAAGAAGATGAAGAAGAAAAACACAGGACAGGAAATAGGGAAAGACAGAAAGAAAGAAAGACAGAAGGAGAGATGAGATAAAAGGGGCCAGAGATGGCGAGAGAGAAGAGAGAGAGAGAGAGAGAGAGAGAGAGAGAGAGAGAGAGAGAGAGAGGAGAGAGAGAGAGATAGAGAGAGAGAGATAGAGAGAGAGAGAGAGAGAGAGAGAGATGGTTGTACCTCCTGTCCCAGTAGTGGTCGTGCCTCCAGGACTCTCTTGGTCTTCCTCTCTTCTCTGACTGGCAGCAGGGACTTGAGGAACTTGGGCGTCTGGGGAGAGAGGGCCTTGAACGGGCTAGAGTTGAAGAAGGTGGGACTCTCTGGTACCAGACCTGAGGGGGAACGCAGTACTAAAAACAAAAAGCATAGCTCTTTCAGTTCTCCATTTAGAATGCTTTTTAGTCCTCTACTATTCTTAATCTGTCCGGGAAACCAGCCATTGAGTTCTTATCACAGTCCTCAAACGGAGGGAGGGAGGTTTTCCTGACTACATAACCTGATTAAGAAACACTCAGGGCCGTAGATATAATCTAAAACAAGAGTTTCCTGGTCAGGCCTCCTGGTCCCAAATATAGTTAAATGTTTGAGTTGTTGTTATTGAATTCTTGTTTTTTTACCGTGATTCTCTGTCTTGTTTTTGAGTGGCGTCCCACACAGAGAACCACCGTCCTGGAGAGTGCAGTCAGAGACATCCTGATGACAGTCACCCTGGAAGACGACCAGACAGACAGACAGGTTAGTCACAATGGCCCTGAAGGACGACCAGACAGACAGACAGGTTAGTCACAATGGCCCTGGAGGACGACCAGACAGACAGACAGGTTAGTCACAATGGCCCTGGAGGACGACCAGACAGACAGACAGGTTAGTCACAATGACCATGGAGGACGACCAGACAGACAGACAGGTTAGTTACAATGGCCCTGGAGGACGACCAGACAGACAGACAGACAGGTTAGTCACAATGACCCTGGAAGACGACCAGACAGACAGACAGACAGGTTAGTCACAATGGCCCTGGAAGACGACCAGACAGACAGACAGGTTAGTCACAATGACCCTGGAAGACGACCAGACAGACAGTCAGACAGGTTAGAGCATAGTAATATAATGACTGGTACTAGTATTATTACACATTCCCATTCTATGGGTTAGATCAGTAGATCTACAGTAAGTGATCCATAAAACAGATTGTTTAATAAAGAGTCATCCTACTGCACTGTATTGTACTGTACCTTCCAGTCTCCATCCTCACAGCCAGTCAGGTCTGTTTTATAATAATGAACCATTCTACTGTACTGTACTGTACCTTCCAGTCTCCATCCTCACAGCCAGTCAGGTCTGTTTTATAATAATGAACCATTCTACTGTACTGTACTGTACCTTCCAGTCTCCATCCTCACAGCCAGTCAGGTCAGTTTTGCTGCAGGAAGACTGGAAGACAACATCAAGAGATTACTAACTCTCAGTGACACACACACACATTTCTGTCTTACGTGCTGTACGTTGGAGGTGCCGGTGTGTGTCTTACGTGCTGTACGTTGGGGGTGCTGAAACTCCTTCTGATGTTTCTCCCTTTAACAGACAGAGCTTCCTTCACCGTCACCGCCTGATGACATCAATCAAACAAACTTTATTGTCCCCAGAGAGAAATCTGGTTGGCAGTGACCCATTTAGATATTGACGTTACACAAACCACACAGGATTCACACATCTAAACTCGTGGATGAAAAGAACAGCATTTAACAGCAAGATCCAGTACGATTCAACAGCGTGAAGTGTGTGTGTGTGTGTGTGTAGTGTGTGTGTGTGTGGGTGTAGTGTGTAGTGTGTGTGTGTGTGTGTGAAATGTGTGTGTGTAGTGTGTGTGTGTGTGAAATGTGTGTGTGTAGTGTGAAATGTGTGTGTGTGTGTAGTGTGAAGTAAGTGTGTGTGTGTGTGTAGTGTGTGTGTGTGTGTAGTGTGAAATGTGTGTGTGTGTGTGTGTGTAGTGTGAAGTGTGTGTGCGTGAAATGTGTGTGTGTAGTGTGAAGTGTGTGTGTGTGTAGTGTGTTGTGTGTAGTGTGTAGTGTGTGGGGTACCTGTCTGAGTCTCTCCAGGCTCAGTATATTCTCCACCTCCAGAACTCCTCTGGTGTATTGCTCTATGTACGTCTGTCCATCCTGACTGTCCTCACCGTCTCCCCTCGCTGCCATCAGGGCCAGGGTCTCTCTCTCCTCAGGCTCCTCAGACGCCTGGACACAATATTATTATATTACAATACAACACAATATTATTACATTACAATACAACACAATATTATTATATTACAATACAACACAATATTATTACATTACAATACAACACAATATTATTATATTACAATACAACACAATATTATTATATCACAATATTTTTACACATGTACTGCTGCAGCGAGGGTTCCAATGCGCCACTCTCTCCTACCTTTCCTCTCTAGTAAGCATTTCCTTGGACGATGTATACCATGCGGATCCCGTACATACAACTAATAACATCATATGTAATGCACATCAACTCGGTACAGGTACTCCCTGTATATAGCCATGTTATTTTCTACTCCCTGTATATAGCCATGTTATTTTCAACTCCCTGTATATAGCCATGTTATTTTCTACTCCCTGTATATAGCCATGTTATTTTCTACTTCCTGTATATAGTCATGTTATTTTCTACTCCTTGTATATAACCATTATATTTTCTACTTCCTGTATATAGCCATGTTATTTTCTACTTCCTGTATATAGCCATGTTATTTTCTACTCCCTGTATATAATATAATATATAATATAATATAATATGCCATTTAGCAGACGCTTTTATCCAAAGCGACTTACAGTCATGCGTGCATACATTTTTGTGTATGGGTGGTCCCGGGGATCGAACCCACTACCTTGGCGTTACAAGCGCCGTGCTCTACCAGCTGAGCTACAGAGGACCACAATAGTAATATATAGTCATGTTATTTTATAATTCCTGTATATAACCATGTTATTTTCTACTTCCTGTATATAGCCATGTTATTTTCTACTCCCTGTATATAGACATGTTATTTTCTACTTCCTGTATATAGTCATGTTATTTTCTACTCCCTGTATATAGCCATGTTATTTTCTACTCCCTGTATATAGCCATGTTATTTTCTACTCCCTGTATATAGCCATGTTATTTTCTACTTCCTGTATATAGCCATGTTATTTTCTACTCCCTGTACATAGCCATGTTATTTTTACTCATTATTGTTATTCGTTATTCACTGTGTATTTATTCCTCATGTCACTAATTCAAATGTTTAAAAAATAAAATAATCTTTCTCTCTGCAATGCTTAAAAGGACCCGTAATTAAGCATTTCACTGTTAGTCTACACCTGTTGTCTATGAAGCATGTGACACTTAACCTTTGATTTGATATCAAATAGACCTTGTCCTATCCAATAAACCATAAACATGTGACAAGTGGGACTCCCCCACTCCTTCAAAAAAATGAATCAACAAGACTTTTAATGTACCATTATCTCTGGATACCAAAAATGTATCCAGAGATACTAGTCCCCTACAGATGGTCCATTTTGGACACATTCTTGTTGGTCTACTATATTGAACACAGTAACAGTAAAGCTGTTTACCTTTGGTATATTAGACAGAATCTCATAAGTGACTCCACAGGAGTACAGCATGTTCTTCAAGGACATCCTTCTCTTCAGACTCTGGGTGAAGCTCTACGTCAGAGAAAAACAACATGGTGGATCAGTACTGAGCACATTACATCACAGACGAGACATTAAAATATACAATATTTTATGGCATTCTCATGAAAGCCTATCTGTTCTGCACATTGAGTAACAGGCTGCCAGACAGAGAGAGTTACAGGGCCAGATTCCCAGACAGAGGTGAAACCTAGTCCTAGCATGCCTTTTAGTCCAGGACTAGGCTTAATCTGGGTCGGGCTTAATGTGCTGTCAGCCATGTCAGTAGGCACCAGACCGGTCCAGTCAGTGCAGACCTGTTTGTTGTAGATGTTGACAGATGTTTGTCTGTCAGTCAGTCTGTGTGTGTGTGTCTCCAGTCCAGTCAGTGCAGACCTGTTTGTTGTAGATGTTGACAGAGATCCTCTTTCGGACCACCAGTTCCATGGAGGCAGGGTGGCTGAGCTGCACAGTGGCTTTAATGATCACGTAGATACGCTCGTTGGGTGATGTCACGCGGTTCAGGTGCGCAGAGTCGTGGATGGATGAGTCCCAGGAGCACATCGCTGACACCTGGTGGCAGGAGGACAAATGACAGACAGCAGTTAGTTACATGCTGTACTGCATGGTGGGAAAACACACACAACTATTATTCTTACGGTTGCAAAATTCCGGTAAGTTTCCCAAAATTATTTCCAGGTTTTCCAGAAATCCTGATTGGAGGACTCCCGGGTTTCCTGCGTATTTCCTCCTGATTCCGAGAATCTTCCAACCGGGATTTCGGGAAAATGGGAAGTGGCCAGTGCATGCGCACACACACACACACACACACACACACACACACACACACACACACACACACACACACACACACACACACACACACACACACACACACACAAACACACACAAACACACACACACACACACACACACACACACACACACACACACAGTACTCTACCTCGTCATCACTGTGTCTGATGATGGGCAGGTAGAAGAATTGGCTGCCATGCTCCTTGGGCAGGATAGAGTTAACCCCGGCAGCGTTGGGTCCTGTTAACTGTTCATTCACTGTCAGGTTGTCTGCTGCAGAGGTGACAGAGACACACAGAGAGAGGGTCTGCAGTGGGGTTGGCAATTATTAAACATTTTTATGACCCAAAAATTAAGAGAGTGTCATGGGACAACATACAAATGTATGTATTTATTTATTTATTTTCCTTTAAATAAGAGATTAAAATGCAATGAATTGAAGGTTATTTGTTGACGTAAAAATTGAAATGCACCGATTTTAAGGTTGTGTCATTAGATTTGGGGTGGGGTAAGGTCAACAAAAAAAGTTGGGGGGAAAAAATGGGGTCCCCGCTGAAAAAGTTTGAATACCACTGGGTCAGAGGTTAGGTCCTGTTAACTGTTCATTCACTGTCAGGGTGTCTGCTGCAGAGGTGCATTTTGACTATAATGGTTGTAATTCATCAGTCCAGTGAGGCATAAAGTGGTTTAATGTCACTATTAAGGGGATTCCAGGCCTTACCATTCAAGTCCAAGAAGAGGACAGGGATGTGAGCTTCCATCCCAGCAGAGGGAGCCCTGCAACAGTGACACAGTAGAACACAGGGTCAGAGGCAGTTTCAAACAGTACTACAGAGAGCCAAACTCTAAGGTTGTGTAATGTATAAAAGCAGACATACATTCAGTGATTATTTCATTCGGTGTATTAAAGAATGACCATCAGACTTACCAGTGGGCAGGGGCACCAGGTATGCCACTGCCAGGCGCGGGCACCAGTACAGCGTTCTTCTCCTCAGTCAGCCCTACCCACTGTTCCACCAGCCTGGCCTCCCTCTCCATGTCCTCCTCTGACTTCTCTGGAGAGAGAGAGAGAGACACAGAGAGAGAGACACACACAGAGAGAGAAGGGGGGGGGGGGGTGAGGGTGATAACGGAAGGAGTGTGAGGAGGAGGAGTGTAACAGAAACCAAGTCCCAAAAGGGAAAAACCTGCCCACCAAGAATGCTGAATAAGCTAAATCAAGCGCAACTAAAGTAATTGAAAGGACAGATCCAGGTACAGAGTGTAGCTGCATAGTCCAGGCCTGGGACTCACCCTGTTTGTTGATGATCTTGTTGATCTGTTCGTCCAGGTACTCTCGTCGTTTGATGAGGGCCTCAGACCAGCGCTCCCTCACACAGTTCAGGTCCTCCTCCTACAGGTCAAGAGAAGACAGTATCGCTGTCAGTGGGCTGCAGCATTACAGGACGTTCAGTCAGGTCAAATTTGGGCTGATTTGAATGGGCGCCAAGGGCAGATTCATACTTCCTTTACCCCAGTAGACCCCACATGACCACCGTGAGAAGCCAGAGTGTGAGGCCCTAAAAGCCAAGTCAAAGTTAATCCTCTTTCTCAAAGTGTATTGAAAAAAGTCCCAAACGCTATCAGGAAATGGAATGGCTCCCAGGCTCTGAGCCTTTAATGTACTGTTGGCTGATTAAAAGATTACATTACCATGATCAAACTACCCACCCAGCACGATCACGACCACACACATGCACACTCCACCCCCATTCCTGATCTCTCACACACACACACACACACACACACACACACACACACACACACACACACACACACACACACACACACACACACACACACACACACACACACACACACACACACACACACACACACACACACACACACACACACACACACACACACTGCATTGGAAAGGATAGGCCTGAGCAAAACACTGCACAGATTCACCAATCTTTATAAATATGGATCACTTAATGGACAGTTGTTTCAAGGTGATGATCAGTGAGTCTACACTACACTGGCCTGCTCAGGCCCATCCTCTGGAACACAGAGACACACCCTCTGTTCCATGTCCTACCTGATTACATGGGGAGACCAACACTCTGTTCCATGTCCTACCTGATTACATGGGGAGACCAACACTCGGTTCCATGTCCTACCTGATTACATGGGGAGACCAACACTCTGTTCCATGTCCTACCTGATTACATGGGGAGACCAACACTCGGTTCCATGTCCTACCTGATTACATGGGGAGACCAACACTCTGTTCCATGTCCTACCTGATTACATGGGGAGACCAACACTCTGTTCCATGTCCTACCTGATTACATGGGGAGACCAACACTCGGTTCCATGTCCTACCTGATTACATGGGGAAACCAACATACAGAAACACTGACCCATTCCAATTGGTGGTTTTCAGTCAACCAAAGTGAAACAACCTCTGTGGAACTGCAAGTGAACTCAACTCCCCTGTCATGCAAAATGAGTCATGCATCGATGCAGCCATGCGTTGGTCATGTGATTGAGTGAGGTGAGGCACAACATGTCTCCTGCAGCAGCTCTTGAGTAGCAGGTTGAGAAGCAGACAGGAAGGAGGTTAGTGTGTGTTGGTTTAACCTGAGGGACTGAGGGGGTGGTAGGACCGAGGGACAGACTGGACCACACACAGACAGACGACAGACAGACACCAGGGCAATGTCGAGTGGGAGGAAAGAAACCCAGAATATGAGTGATCTATCTGGGCCTGGGGTGCTGCCTTAAAAAGGTTTTCTAATTGTTTTCTTTGGTTGGCTGACATTATTTATTTAGACCAGTGCCATCCATGTCCAAAAATGTGCTTGGAGGCAAGAGTTCTCCTCTAAAAGTGTACAACATTACCCAATCATGTTCCACTCTGTGAGGCCGGACCTAGGACCAGGGGTTTGTCCTGACCACTAGACCTGACCAGGGAAAACTCAGTGATCTAGTTCTAGTCTCCTGTCTCCCAACCCCTACTCCTCTAGTCTCCCACCCCCCTACTCCTCTAGTCTCCTGTCTCTCCAACCCCCTACTCCTCTAGTCTCCTGTCTCCCACCCCCTACTCCTCTAGTCTCCTGTCTCCCACCCCCTACTCCTCTAGTCTCCTGTCTCCCACCCCCTACTCCTCTAGTCTCCCAACCCCTACTCCTCTAGTCTCCCACCACCTACTCCTCTAGTCTCCTGTCTCCCACCCCCTACTCCTCTAGTCTCCTGTCTCCCACCCCTACTCCTCTAGTCTCCTGTCTCCCACCACCTACTCCTCTAGTCTCCTGTCTCCCACCCCCTACTCCTCTATTCTCCTGTCTCCACCCCCTACTCCTCTAGTCTCCTGTCTCCCACCCCTACTCCCTAGTCTCCTGTCTCTCATCTCCCCCCTTACTCCTCTATTCTCCTGTCTCCCACCCCCCTACTCCTCTAGTTCTCTGTCTCCCACCCCCTCTCCTCTAGTCTCCTGTCTCACTCCTGTTATTCAACCACCGATCTCTTAGTCTCCTGTCTCCCACCCCCTACTCCTCTAGTCTCCTGTCTCCCACCCCCTACTCCTCTAGTCTCCTGTCTCCCACCCCCTACTCCTCTAGTCTCCTGTCTCCCACCCCCTACTCCTCTAGTCTCCCACCCCCTACTCCTCTAGTCTCCTGTCTCCCACCCCCTACTCCTCTAGTCTCCTGTCTCCCACCCCCTACTCCCCTTATCTAGTCTCCTGCCTCCCACCCCACTACTCCTTAGTCTCCTGTCTCCCACCACCTACTCCTCTAGTCTCTCTGCTTCCCACCACCTACTCCTCTAGTCTCCTGTCTCCCACCACCTACTCTCTAGTCTCCTGTCTCCCACCCCCCTACTCCTCTAGTCTCCTGTCTCCCACCCCCTACTCCCCCTAGTTTCTAGTCTCCTGCCTCCCACCCCCTGCGCCCCCTTCTCAGTGGCGCCCCCTGTCTGCAAGCACATAACCAGAAGCTGGTTTCCATCCATCATGGCTCGTCATCATCATTGGCAGTAGTTAGGGTTGAACATTTCTGGGAAATCAAAAAAAAAAATCCAAGGTTTTCCAGAAATCCCAGTTGGAGGATTCCCGGATTTCCTGTTAATTCCATCTTGATTCCATCTGGAAAACCTGGGATTTATATATATATATATATATATATATATATATATATATTTTTTTTTTTACAGTTATGGGAATGTTGCAACCCTAGCAGTACTAGGAGGCAGCACCATCCATAATGCCTCATCATCATTGGCAGCAGTAGCAGCAGCAGCAGTAGTAGCAGCAGACTGAGGAGTTACAGTATACCTGATAACTATCCATATCTCCATCCTCCTCCTCCCTCTGGCAGGACAGAACACAGCACAGTACAGTACACTCAGTCAGTCAGACAGACAGGCAGATAGACAGGCAGACACACTACTCTCCACTGTCTGGAAGTGGCTCTGGATAAGAGCGTCTGCTAAATGACTAACATGTCAAATGTAAATCCAGCTACAACTAGGGTCAGTGGCATTGGAGATGTCACTGGCTAACTAAATTACATTGTGTTTCCTCTCGAAAAGTTTGTAGCAGTGGGGGTAAAAGGTTGCTTCTTGGTCCTTCTACATAAAAATGATCCCCCCCCTCTCCCAGATCATTTTTATGTAGATGAACTGAGAAGCTCAGTTCTGGTGACTTTTTAAAAGGACATTGTACTCCAAAATGAATGAACATAAAATTATGCTGACTCCCATCTAAAATATAATTTCCACCTCCAGAATTAAGCCCAATAACATATTGCAAAAAATACATTTTAACATATTGGACCATCCATACAGCCTATGCATGGTCCATATTATCAGGGATGCTATTAGCAACAGGCATTATCACCTGTAGTCCAACTGATGCAGCATAGTGGCTATAAATACATAGGCTGAAGCATGGGGTTGCCCATCTGCATTTACCCTATTGGGTTAATCATTAGCTAGATCCCAAATGTGATCTTTTAACTAGTTAGCATCCTATTGATGAATTTTATCTCATATAATTTAGGCCTACCTGTTAGGGTAGCGTGGGGTAACCGTCACCCGGGGTAAAACGCCCCCTGCCTGTACTTCTCACAGAAACCACTTCAAGTCACAATTTCCCCCCCCCCAACACTTTCCCTGGTTGCCACTACTCTTGCTCAACTAAAAATGTAATCTGTCTCACTCCCAAAACATGATTTTGAGATAGGTTGGCGTTTTACCCCCCAAAAAACTCAGGGTTAAAAAAAACAACAACATTTATACAGAAATTAAATGGTGCAGTTCGTACATATTTAAGAGTTGAGAAATAAATAAAGCAGGACTGGAAAGCTGGGATTCCCCTCTCTTTCACAAAGGCCATTAAAACCGCTGTTTTCCCACGTGATTGCAAGAATTGTTGTGCATTGACTGCTTGTCAGTTTCCCTCACTATGGCACTCGTAACTTGAATGCGCCTCGAGCTTAATTTCTTTCTAGCATAGAACACACAACAACAAGCCGACGAGGTAAATAGATCAACTATTCTATTAGGGTCTGAGTTTTCTATTCATTACTCGTTTTGTTTGAAGAAGAAAAGTACATGTGGAATGTTCTGGCATAAATGTAGAATGTTCTGGCATAATTTAATTTTTTTGTCATTTAGCAGATGCTCTTATCCAGAGCGACTTACAGGAGCAATTAGGGTTAAGTGCCTTGCTCAAGGGCATATCGGCAGATTTTTCACCTAGTCGGCTCAAAATAAATGTAGAATGTTCTGGCATCTTCAAAGTGCGCCTCGGCAGAAATATTTGTTTTATGTTCCATATTTTTAGTGGGCGTGGCGTAAATGATTTTGCCGTGGCGCAGCGCCACAGCTAAAATGACTGCAGTGGAAACACTGTAGTCAACTTAAGGTGAAAAATAGTGGTCCAACTAGGGAATAGCCTAACCAGATCACTCAATGTATTCGATTGATACACAACAATCAAATGTGTTGACCTTTCTACATTCTACACAGCAGATGAATATATTTCTATGGTTCCATCATTCTACAGATGTCTCCCTCCAGTGGAATAATTGATGATTGGAACCTTTCTTTCCCTACATCAGACAGCTTTGACATGGTAGCCTAAGGATCTTCCATCTGAAAACTACAGGATGCGGAGATTGATTATTACTAGGATTTCATCATGTCCAGATACACAGTACAGTATTATAATACTGTAAATATCTCCAGTCCACCATTAGGCAGTAGAACTGTAGTCTAGTGCTATGGTCTCATCCCAGGGCATGGTGTGTGTCTCTGTGTGTGTCTCTCTGTGTGTGTGTGTGTGTGTGTGTATGTGTGTTACAGTAATGTGAACCCATACATTCTGCATCCTTCATTAGATTTACAGACAACCTTACAGCAGCCCATGATCTAGTCATGGCAGTAGGCCCAGAACCAGAATCACCACCCGCTAGTCACACCACCACCATCACCATCTCCACTTCACCATCACCATCTCCACCATCATCACTATCACCATCACCATCACCATCTCCACTATCACCATCACCATCACCATCTCCACTATCACCATCACCATCACCATCTCCACTATCACCATCACCATCTCCACTATCACCATCACCATCACCAACATGCATTTCCTTGACCAATACAGTACATATAACACCACATTTGTATATTTTAAAGCGGAAGCAAATCTGACATATAACATTGCCACACTGACACATCTCTTGCAAATTATTTTATATAGCAATATGCTGGATGTGATTGTGTGTGTGTGTGATAGTTTGTGTGTAGTGGTGTGTGCCACTGACCTGATAGCTGTCCAGGGGTCTCTGCAGCTTGGTGGAGCGTGCAGACACACAGCCGACAGAGACAGACAGAACAGCCTCCACCAACAGAGGCAGAGTCCCAGAGTCCTGCACCTGCTTCACACACACCTGCAGCCTGCGAGAGTGACCCTGAGAACACACACGCCATCCATGTAGCCTGCTTAACATACAGACGGCCAATTACAATGAAGATAAGCACAGAAGAAAACCAGGACAAACAGGAAATTAGACGGCGTTCATCTTTTCCATTCATTTGGGATTGAGGCAATGAGGCATATAACTGGATCTATACAACCGATGTCGTGGGACGTGGTTTCATCTTGACATCACTCTACTTTTAAGGGCTGGAAACATCTGACAAACTTTATGAGTGAAATGTCCCTTTAAATGTTACTTTAGCACTGCTTATTTATTGGTGTCCAGGTCACTATTTATCCATGGAGTCTGTGCTGTCCTGTTACCTGTCTGAGCTGGAACACTCCTCCAGTACTGATGTCCTTCCCTGGCTGTGTTACCTGTCTGAGCTGGAACACTCCTCCAGTACTGATGTCCTTCTCAGGCTGTGTTACCTGTCTGAGCTGGAACACTCCTCCAGTACTGATGTCCTTCCCAGGCTGTGTTACCTGTCTGAGCTGGAACACTCCTCCAGTACTGATGTCCTTCCCAGGCTGTGTTACCTGTCTGAGCTGGAACACTCCTCCAGTACTGATGTCCTTCCCTGGCTGTGTTACCTGTCTGAGCTGGAACACTCCTCCAGTACTGATGTCCTTCCCAGGCTGTGTTACCTGTCTGAGCTGGAACACTCCTCCAGTACTGATGTCCTTCCCTGGCTTAGTTACCTGTCTGAGCTGGAACACTCCTCCAGTACTGATGTCCTTCCCTGGCTGTGTTACCTGTATGAGCTGGAACACTCCTCCAGTACTGATGTCCTTCCCTGGCTGTGTTACCTGTCTGAGCTGGAACACTCCTCCAGTACTGATGTCCTTCCCAGGCTGTGTTACCTGTCTGAGCTGGAACACTTCTCCAGTACTGATGTCCTTCTCAGGCTGTGTTACCTGTCTGAGCTGGAACACTTCTCCAGTACTGATGTCCTTCTCAGGCTGTGTTACCTGTCTGAGCTGGAACACTTCTCCAGTACTGATGTCCTTCTCAGGCTGTGTTACCTGTCTGAGCTGGAACACTCCTCCAGTCTGATGTCCTTCCCAGGCTGTGTTACCTGTCTGAGCTGGAACACTCCTCCAGTACTGATGTCCTTCCCGGCTGTTTACCTGTCTGAGCTGGAACACTCCTCCAGTACTGATGTCCTTCCCAGGCTGTGTTACCTGTCTGAGCTGGAACACTCCTCCAGTAACTGATGTCCTTACCCTGGCTGTTTACTGTCTGAGCTGGAACACTCCTCCAGTACTGATGTCCTTCCCTGGCTGTGTTACCTGTCTGAGCTGGAACACTCCTCCAGTACTGATGTCCTTCTCAGGCTGTGTTACCTGTCTGAGCTGGAACACTCCTCCAGTACTGATGTCCTTCTCAGGCTTGTGTTACCTGTCTGAGAGGGAACACTCCTCCAGTACTGATGTCCTTCCCGGCTGTGTTACCTGTCTGAGCTGGAACACTCCTCCAGTACTGATGTCCTTCCCAGGCTGTGTTACCTGTGTCTGAGCTGGAACACTCCTCCAGTACTGATGTCCTTCCCTGGCTGTTTACCTGTCTGAGCTGGAACACTCCTCCAGTACTGATGTCCTTCCCAGGCTGTGTTACCTGTCTGAGCTGGAACACTCCTCCAGTACTGATGTCCTTCTCAGGCTGCATCTCTACATCAGAGTAGTCCCCCTGCTCATTCAGCTCCTGGATAGAAGCCCACAGCTCAATACGACGAGACACCTCACTCCACCTGCAGGGACACCACACAGGCAAGTGGCGGGTGAGTTTGTGTGTGTGTGTGTGTGTGGTGTGTGTGTGTGTGTGTGTGTGTGTGGTGCATGCATTCATGTATCCTTGAGATTATACATGCACGATATGTATGTACTCTACACACTGTGTGTGTACCTGTCTCGTAGTGTGCGTGTCTTGGCTTGCAGTGCGTCCAGCTCCCAGAGAGAGCGTCCGTTCCCGGCACAGCGGTGACCCCACACCTCGATGGCCAGCGCCCCGTCTGAGATGAACTCTAAAAACTCCTCCGTCACATGGACCACATAGTCCTACACACAGAGAGAGGGGAGGAACATGTGGATATACAATATCAAATATTAAATATTGGCAGAAATATTAGAATAATGGTGACATAATGGGCCCTGGTCAAAAGTAGTAAACTGTATAGGGAACAGGGTGCCATTTGGGATGCAGACATATTCCAACTACAATCTTCAGTATCAGTGTCAGTGCCAGCCAGCAGAGGATGATGTGAAATAACTTTCCCCAAATTCCCAGGTTTTCCAGAAATCCCAGTTGAAGAGTCCCGGAATCAGGAGGGAATCAGGAGGAAATCCAGATACCTCCAACCGGGAATTCTGGAAAACCTGGGAATTTTAGGAAAGTTACCAGAATTTTGTAACCCACCTTGCAGTGGTCGAAGCGGACAGTGAACTGGGCGTCGGGGGTGCGGGGCGTGGTGGGCGTGTCTGGGCTGACCATGGGCGGGGCCACCGTAGGCTCCGCCCCCTCCCAGAAGGTGTACTGGCAGAAGACGAAGTTGGACAGGTTGAGAGGCAGCCCCGTGGCCTCCCTGATACGTACCTGTAGAGAAGAAGAAGATGAAGAAGATTACATTATTGTCCAATCTACACAGATCCAATGGAAGATGTTCTTCTGCTTTATTCCAAATCCTCCCAAAGACACACAGACACATACTGAGGAGTTAGAACAGAGGACAGTTATATATACTGAGGAGTTAGAACAGAGGACAGTTATATATACTGAGGAGTTAGAACAGAGGACAGTTATATATACTGAGGAGTTAGAAACAGAGGACAGTTATATATACTGAGGAGTTAGAACAGAGGACAGTTATATATACTGAGGAGTTAGAACAGAGGACAGTTATATATACTGAGGAGTTAGAACAGAGGACAGTTATATATACTGAGGAGTTAGAACAGAGGACGTTATATATACTGAGGAGTTTAGAACAGAGGACAGTTATATATACTGAGGAGTTAGAACAGAGGACAGTTATATATACTGAGGAGTTTAGAACAGAGGACAGTTATATATACTGAGGAGTTAGAACAGAGGACAGTTATATATACTGAGGAGTTAGAACAGAGGACAGTTATATATACTGAGGAGTTAGAACAGAGGACAGTTATATATACTGAGGAGTTAGAACAGAGGACAGTTATATATACTGAGGGTTAGAAACAGAGGACAGTTATATATACTGAGGGGTTAGAACAGAGGACAGTTATATATACTGAGGAGTTAGAACAGAGGACAGTTATATATACTGAGGGGTTAGAACAGAGGACAGTTATATATACTGAGGGGTTAGAACAGAGGACAGTTATATATACTGAGGGGTTAGAACAGAGGACAGTTATATACACTGAGGAGTTAGAACAGAGGACAGTTATATACTGAGGAGTTAGAACAGAGGGACAGTTATATACACTGAGGGGTTAGAACAGAGGACAGTTATATATACTGAGGAGTTAGAACAGAGGACAGTTATATATACTGAGGGGTTAGAACAGAGGACAGTTATATATACTGAGGAGTTAGAACAGAGGACAGTTATATATACTGAGGAGTTAGAACAGAGGACAGTTATATACACTGAGGAGTTAGAACAGAGGACAGATATATACTGAGGAGTTAGAACAGAGGACAGTTATATATACACTGAGGGGTTAGAACAGAGGACAGTTATATACACTGAGGAGTTAGAACAGAGGACAGTTATATATACTGAGGAGTTAGAACAGAGGACAGTTATATATACTGAGGAGTTAGAACAGAGGACAGTTATATATACTGAGGAGTTAGAACAGAGGACAGTTATATATACTGAGGAGTTAGAACAGAGGACAGTTATATATACTGAGGGGTTAGAACAGAGGACAGTTATATACACTGAGGAGTTAGAACAGAGGACAGATATATACTGAGGAGTTAGAACAGAGGACAGTTATATATACACTGAGGGGTTAGAACAGAGGACAGTTATATACATGAGGAGTTAGAACAGAGGACAGTTATATATACTGAGGAGTTAGAACAGAGGACAGTTATATATACTGAGGAGTTAGAACAGAGGACAGTTATATATACTGAGGAGTTAGAACAGAGGACAGTTAATATACTGAGGGAGTTAGAACAGAGGACAGTTATATATACTGAGGAGTTAGAACAGAGGACAGTTATATATACTGAGGAGTTAGAACAGAGGACAGTTATATATACTGAGGAGTTAGAACAGAGGACAGTTATATATACTGAGGAGTTAGAACAGAGGACAGTTATATATACTGAGGAGTTAGAACAGAGGACAGATATATATACTGAGGAGTTAGAACAGAGGACAGTTATATATACTGAGGGGTTAGAACAGAGGACAGTTATATATACTGAGGGGTTAGAACAGAGGACAGTTATATATACTGAGGGGTTAGAACAGAGGACAGTTATATACACTGAGGAGTTAGAACAGAGGACAGATATATATACTGAGGGGTTAGAACAGAGGACAGTTATATATACTGAGGGGTTAGAACAGAGGACAGTTATATATACTGAGGAGTTAGAACAGAGGACAGTTATATATACTGAGGAGTTAGAACAGAGGACAGTTATATATACTGAGGGGTTAGAACAGAGGACAGATATATACTGAGGAGTTAGAACAGAGGACAGTTATATACACTAAGGAGTTAGAACAGAGGACAGTTATATATACTGAGGAGTTAGAACAGAGGACAGTTATATATACTGAGGAGTTAGAACAGAGGACAGTTATATATACTGAGGAGTTAGAACAGAGGACAGTTATATATACACTGAGGGGTTAGAACAGAGGACAGTCATACTATGGCACCCGTTGAGCAGTTAGGGGGTTAAGTGCCTGGCACAATGGAAGGAGATGGCATCTAGGACAATGATGGCATCAACCCTACAGGACACAGACAGACAGTAGTAGTGTGTGTGTGAGAGACGTACCCTGCAGGTGAGTTTCCTGGCCATGTGGACGATCTCTCCCTGTGTGTCCATCACATCGTAGAAACTGCTCTCACTGGAGTTCTCTGACGAGTCATCTCCCCCCGCCAGCCTCTCCGGCACCGCACCGCTAACACGCATCAGCTCTACGTGGAGCCTGCCGGCTACCTGTCACACACCAGGGGGTACAGACACAGCACATCATCAACACACATCAGTACAGGCCTAAACAGGTGCTGAGTACAGACAGAGAAGACAGATTAAACAGGTGCTGAGTACAGACAGAGAAGACAGATTAAACAGGTGCTGAGTACAGACAGAGAAGACAGATTAAACAGGTGCTGAGTACAGACAGAGAAGACAGATTAAACAGGTGCTGAGTACAGACAGAGAAGACAGATTAAACAGGTGCTGAGTACAGACAGATTAAACAGGTGCTGAGTACAGACAGAGAAGACAGATTAAACAGGTGCTGAGTACAGACAGAGAAGACAGATTAACACCAGGTACAAAGAGATTCCCAGAAGCCATTTGAATCTCCATGGTAGAAGCATGTGGACAGACACATATTGAGAACAAGCAATTACATTTTATTTTGTAATTTAGCAGACGCTCTTATCCAGAATGACTTACAGGAGCAATTAGAGTTAAGTGTCTTGCTCAAGGGCACATTGACAGATTTTTCACCTAGTCAGCTCGGGGATTCGAACCAGCAACCTTTCGGTGACTTGTCCAACGCTCTTAACCACTAGCCACATTTTGGGTTTTGCCCTAGCACTACACAGTTCAAATAACCAACTCATCATCCAGCGTTGAATATTTTAATCAGCTGTGTAGTGCTAGGGCAAAAACCAAAAACGTGCACCCAGGGGGGGGGGGGGGGCTCCAGGACTGAGTTTGGGAAACCCTGCTCTAGGCTACCTGCCGCCCCAGCAAGGAACTGAAATACTACCATGAAGTTGATAACAGCACAATCCCGCTGTATCATTACCATCGTTAATCATTACCAAACCTCAAGTGAGATGTGTGTGTATTTATCTGTGTGTGTGTGTGTGTGTGTGTGTGTGTGTGTGAATGCGTTCCTTTCTGTGTGTCACAGGAGGCTGCTGAGGGGAGGGTTGGCTCATAATAACGGCCGGAATGGTGCAAATGGAATGGCATCAAACACCTTGTGTGTTAGATGCATTTCATACCATTCCACCTATTCCGCTTCAGCCATTACCACGAGCTTGTCCTTCCCAATTAAGGTGCCATCAACCTCATGTGGTGTGTGTGGTATCTGGTGTGTATCTGTGTGTGTATCTGTGTGTGTATCTGTGTGTGTATCTGTGTGGTATCTGTGTGTGTATCTGTGTGGGTATCTGTGTGTGTATCTGTGTGGGTATCTCTGTGTGTGTGTGTGTGCTGTTCTCTCACCTCCCCCTGCTGGCTGATGATGGGAACAGCGTACTGTAGTCTGATGTCGTGGAAAAGGCACTCCAGAAAGACGTTGGCCACTCCTATCAGGTTGTGGTTCTCCTGAGCTTCATAGAAGGGCTCACTGTGCTGCTTGTGGTTGTTCAGCTTGGTATACTGATCAGGGAAACATGATACAAACACACCCCTGAAAACTTCACCCATCATCCAATTATCATCTTGATCACTGAGAAAGAATACTTTATCCCTCCCACAATCACTTCCAGCAGTGTCTCCCATCGGAACATGATTCCTTCGACCCCTCCCCTCTATCCCCCTCCCCTCCCC